AAACACAAAAAAAAAACACATCATTATAAAATCAATATACATTTATCATTGCTGTCGGAAACGAACATTTAAAAAAAAATGTCAATTTTTACGCAAAATAAATTTTTGAAAATATCGATATTATTTTTTTTTTGGTGGAACTCAGAAACTACTTACCCTAATTATAGACCTTTGAAATTTTCAACAAATATATATTTCGGTATGTTTGCCATAATATGTTATTGTAAAATGTTGACTTCTTTTGAGCTAACTATACGTCCTCGATAAATTTTTTAATTATTTTCCAGTTGGAAATTTGTAACAATTTTTCTTTCCACAGCTAATACAGATCATTTTAATAGGAGATTCCCGAGAAGTTTTGTACCCACACCGAACAAAAAAGTTTACTGTACTTTTATGGAATATTTAAAAAAATTTTTTTTTTTAATTTTTTTTGTACTATTTAATTTGAATATATATACTAAAATGACAAAAAGCCTCCGCTCAGAATCGTTTTTCGTATGCAATGGTTTATCATTGAACTCAGATATAATACATACATTATAATGACATGCTCGACAACTACTGCGTACAACAGAGCGGTACTCACTTGTCCACATTTTTTTTTTGCCTATATATGTCAATACAATTTTATTTGTTGGGTCAAAAAGCATGATAATTTAATACAGTCCTCACACATTGTTACAATATTAGTTTGAAATTATTAAAAATACATAGCCCAGATTTTTTTCTTCTAAGCATTTTAAGTTAAAATGTCAACAAAATGTGTCAAATTAAAAATGTTCAAATTATTTTGCAGTTAAAAATGTATGATAAAATGTTCAATTTTTATAGCTAAGGATTACAAATGTAAAACAAGGATTCTTATAAGCAGTCCACACTGCAACCGAAAATATATGAACTCGGTTTTTTTTATAGACAGTGTGAGTACAAAGTCGGACAAAATTTGATATTTAATGAGAGAATACGATTTTAGTACTATTACGTTGTTGTAATTTAAAAATATTATTCATGCCATTGGTGGGGTACAAGTTCAAAAGTCGTATGAACGAAAATGATTAATTTAAACTAAAAAGCTATCTGATATTTTAAAACAAATAAAAATATTATAAAAAAAATTTTGTAAAAATATATGCAGTATTAGCAAAAATATTTAGGCAAGATTTAAATTTTCCGTCAGCTATTTAGATTCCTGGAGATTTTTACAATTTTCTTTTGTTGTAAACAATACAATAAAATCTGTTTTTTTTACTGAAAAATATTTTCCAGATAATGTTGTACATAATTACTGTGGAGGATCTATTGATTGAATTGTTTTGGGTTCATTTTTTTGATTTAGGTTAGTACGACGTTGACTTATAACAATTTGTTTATGCAATTTGTTTTGCTGATTCTTTAGTAATATGCTATGAAATAGCTTTGGTAATACCTGAAATAGCTGCATGGAATATTCAAATTGGTTTTCAAACATTTGATGTTAATGGTTGCGGTTTAATATTTTCTTTAATTTTATTTGCAATTGGGTCCGCTGCGAGTGAGTGTTGATTTCCTGAAAATGTAGAAAACTTATAAAAAACGTTTTTGTCATCGCGTTTTCTTTTTTAATTTTTATTTAATATACATGAAGAATGATTTACACTTCATACTTTTTCTCCGTGTATACTTTTTATAACTTTTATAAAAATAGAACTCATTTTATTAAAATAAAAAGACAAATTACATAATAAAACGTAACGAATTCGCAACAAACTGAACTTCAGTACAGACTACAATCACGTTTTGTTGAATACTAGACCACATCACTGTAGATCTAATAGTCATTATTAATTTCTCATTACTAATAAGTAATAATCTACAAACCACATCATATACTGTCTACCATCTATTATATTATATTATCTTTATTACTCTAAGTAAACGATATTGATCGATCAATAATATTATATTACATATATTTATAATGATATATTATTTCGTTCATACGAATTTCGAACAAATTATTTTTCGATTATATTACTATTCGAAAACATAACATTCGAAGACATGTCCTACTCCCAATATAATAATACTGAAAAAGCGTAAAAAAATGGGGGGGGGGGTTAGCCCTAGAATGTGTTGTTGGTAATATAAAACAGTCGATAGGCGAGAGGTAAGAATATTATCTAGACAATGACATAGGTTTTTTTCTTATAGGTATTTCAGTTTTAAAGCAAGTCGTGAGTATATTTTATAAAATGTACAAACAATTTATTATATTAAAATACTCATAACTCGCTTTTAAATTGAAATATAAAAATATCCTGCGTCATTTGCTAGATGATATTCTTAATTTTAAATTTGGTAATAGATCAAACAACTCTTAAGATTAAACATAACAGAGTTACGGTTACAGACATTTACCCCGACACGCAGACATAAATAAATAATAATTTTATACATTTATTATCCAGATCTGCGGTCCCGAGGCAACGTAAACCACGCAGTTTCGTCCCAGGCACGTAAAAAAGTAAATTCATAATCATGATTCAATTTTAATTTTTTCTAATTAATTATTAGCTACTACAAAACAACCATCGCCCCTTCCACAACCCTAAGTTACGTGCCTGTTTCGACCCCGTAAAAAAACCAGTCCACGGATGTTGTCCCCGTCAATTATTTGACGACATTTGACCTCCAGGAGTTAAAAAACGTTATTTAGCAATAGGACATTATACGATTTAAATATTACATTTAACTGATGAAAATCATACTGCAGTAAATTAATTTAAATTTAATAATAATAATTATACTGACATTTTATATTTTTGAAAAAAAAAGTTATTCTATTGCAAATAATTCTAATATAGTATTGACGTTTTAAATTTAAAATAAAAAGTGACTGAAATATCAAAACGTAAATATTTATATACATGTATTTTCATTGAACACGAATGCACCTATTATAATATTAAAATATTATTTTTTTATAGTTTACTTACGTTACTTATAAACACGTTATTAAAATTCACGATGTCGCTGTAAATTATAGTCAATGTTGTGAGATGCCTACTTTAAAATATATCTAGGCATAGAAGAGGTAAGCGCCATGGTAATAAATGGAAAAATCGAATTTCATCGTTACGATAAACTGAAAAACCCCATCAATATTATGAATCAATTATGTGACATCTTATCCGTAAATATACATATTGCAACACGCCTACCTCGTTTATTTAAACTTGCTGTCGATATTTATACCTAATTCTATCCAGTTGAGGAGTAGGTAGTTAGTTAGCTATTCCCACTACACGAACCGATCTTGTTAACCTGGTTGTTGAATTGGTACAAATAAAGTTTTCTAAGTTATATTTTACAGGTCCTATAGAAACTTATTATGACCTCAGACCTGCGTTCATAAACTAAAGCAAATTAAACACGATATAGCAACGTATACGAGGTTTATTAAATATTTGAATAGTAATAATACTATACAGTACACTTTCACCTGAGTAACCCTGTTCTGAAGGGTAGTATATTGAAGATCACAGGAGTAGCGGAGTACGAGTTGAAACAATTAAATTATTATGTTTTATCCACAAGGTAGATTATTATGCCTATAGTAAAACAATTTAAATATGTTATTTGAAAACGTAGAGGTGACTGTTGTCTCTATTTCACCATTTGAACTCGACTGATTGGCTATGCCAATGATTTATATTATCGTACTCTACGCGTTCCTGTGTCCTGTCTACCTGAGCAAATTCATCAAGCGTGACATAAATGACGCGTCAGTAATCTGTAAATCGTTACAATATCATTAGTCATTACTCATTAGGTATTATAGACACGTACTTATTGCCCATACAGTTTATGAGTTATGAGTTATGACTGACTAATCAGTATATGTGTACCTAATTATCGTGTATGGATACAATTTTTAAAAAACATGTGTCTAATATTTTATTTCGAGTATTGAGTATTTTAATACTTAAAATGTAAGTATCCAGTATCTATATTGTATCGCGATACTGATTTCTGAGTGTCTTGCCCGTCTCTGTGTACGCATATAGTTCAGTGCTTCTCGACGGGGACCACGTCACCCCCGGCGAGGTCGGTGAAAGAGTACTGAGGGGCGGTGAGCTCGTTTCGGGAGGGGGGTCGGGGTATTGGACTCTCCTTCCGTTCGAAGCAACGCAGCGAGATTTATCTGTGTTTTTATCGATTCACAAAATAAATTCGTGATTGTGAAATATAAACTAGGTACATATAATGCCAGAGCGTCAAACGTAGGTCCGTTACCCCAGCACTGCCAAGTTTGAAACTGAATATCAAAATTATGAAGTATTATGTACTTTATTTTGTACAATTTTGTACAACCAAAATTAAATTTTGTACAACTCTCCCAACACGAGAAAACGCGATTTTCCCATGTCCGTGCTGCTGTAACGTTATCCCAGCACTGCCCATGACCAATTACCATCCAATCAAAATTTGACTTGTATACAGTATTATGCACTTTATTTTTTACAATTTTGTACAGCCAAAATTAAATTTTGTACAATTTCCCTAACGCAAGAAAACGCTATTTTCCCATGTCTAGTACTACTAATAATCAATATTATCAAATCGAAATATATCAAGAACACATGTTGATGTTTCAAGTTCTAAACAAAAATATTAGTTAATGATTAGGTATATTATTTATGTATAAGCATAATTTTTTAAGGTACAATTATAATAATAATTTATCTTTTGGAAGAGGTAGCTTGACTATTTGAACCAGCTCTATCAAAACATTTGCTTTAACATTCATTGAAATGTTTCTTACCGAGTTATAGTAGGAACAAAATAATGGTAGATTCCATCATGTTTGTGCTGTGGTAAATTAAATATATTGCTATATGTACAATTTGTATTTGCTGGATTTACATTTATATTTTAAAATAGGTAAGTAATATTGATTAATAATAATATGAATGAGGAATAAATTCAAAAATTAAAAAGGCGGGTAGTGTAATGCTTTATTTATTTGTGAATTTATAGACTGTTTCAAACAACTTGGAGGCACCTACAAAGTTGGTTCCACAATCACTGTGCATCTGTTGGATTGGGCCTCGGCGTGAAATAAAACGACTAAAGGCCATCAGAAAAGTCTCAGTGGACAAGTCTGAGGCGAGTTCAAGATGTAGCGCTTTTGTTGCCATGCAGACGAAAAGGCATATGCATACTTGGCATGGTATAGTGCTGCGTGTTGTTGACGGTTTTAACATGATTGGACCAGCGTAGTCAACCCTGACTGCGGTGAATGGCTTTACTTGCTGTAAACGGAATTTTGGCAAATTTCCCATTACAGGCTGGACTCCTTGAGGACGAATTCGATAACAGGCAATACAGAGACGTAAACGAGATTTAATAACTTGGCGACTACCTACAATCCAATACTGTTGCTGGATGATGGATTGCAGTGTCGTAGCTCCCGGGTGCTTGTGTTGAAGGTGGGTGTCGTCAATTAGCAAGTGAGTAAATCGATGTGTCCTTGGCAGAAGAATCGGGTGCTTCTGCTCATACGGAAGATCAGCGTGAACCAGACGACCGCCAACTCGAAGGATTCCACGGTTGTCAACAAAGAGATTCAAAACACGTAACTTGCTGGCGCCTTTGTGAGTAGGATCACGGAGCTGCATAAGTTCGTCACCGAATGCTTGTCTTTGTACGGCAAGTATAATGAATTCCAGTGTATGACTTAGTTCAGTGGTTGATGGTTCTGTTCTGTTGGGTTTGATGTTCGCAAAAACTCGTTTACAATATACGATGATGCGAATGATATTTTGTAATGACGAAATTCGACGGAAGAGGTGGTCGAGAATAGTGGTAGTCGGGGTTATTACGAGGACTGTGGGTCGTGCTTCGAGGTCTGTAACGACTGTAGCAGGACATAAGGGCCATGTACTGTGATCTTGGACCAGGAACGCAGGTCCATTCCATCACATAGGATGTTTCAGGAGTTCAGTAGGGTAGAGTCCACGAGACGCGCAGTCTACTGGATTTTCGCTGGTTGGAACATATCGCCAGAGTGATGGTGGTGAGAGACTCTGGATATGGCTGGTTCTGTTTGCGATAAACGTAGCCCGTCGATGTGGAGATGATTGAATCCAGGCGAGAGTGGTCGTTGAATCAGTTCAGGCGTGCATGGCGTTGATGGATAGTAGTTGTTTGAGAAGTTCGTACACATAATGCAACAGTTGAAGTGCCAACACTGCACCGCATAATTCTAACCCTGGAATAGTCACTCGTTTCAGAGGTGACACCTTGGCTTTTGATGTGACGAGGTTGCAATTAACGCGGTTTCCAACGTATTTTCAACGTAGGTACACTACGGCCGCATAACCTTTTTCGGAACTGTCTGAGAAGACGTGGAGTTCATACTGAGTTTCTCCTTCCGTGGTAAGTCGGCGGGGAATCTTCAGATGTTGTATGCATTGAATTTCACTTTGGTACCGCTGCCACATTGTTTGCACTTGCTCGGGAATGGGATCGTCCTATCCGATTCCTGATGTCCATAGTAACTGCATCATGTGCTTTGCCAAAAAGGTCACAGGTAAGAGAAATCCGAGTGGATCGAAAATGCGTGCAAGATCTGACAGGATACTTGCATTTGGACACTGAAAACTATAAGAGAAATTGTCTTGTTTTGGATTCCATTGCATCCCGAGGATTTTCAGCCCAGCCTCCAGCTCATCATCGAATAGTACATCAGTTGACATGGAGCGCTCATTGCCCGATACAGCCTGTAGGATCACGGAAGAGTTGCTGACCCATTTCCGAAGTTGAAATTGACCTTGTTTGCATAAAGCAATTAATTGTGATCGTTGCACTAAAGCTGAGTCTGGAGAATCAGCCCCCGTGAGTATGTCATCCACAAACGTGTCTTGCATGAGGATCTGAGCACCAATGGGGAATTTTTTTGACTCGATCTTCGCTAGGTGTTGTTAAGTTCGCAATGCTTGATGCGGCGCAGAAGAGGTACCATATATGTTACTGTACAGAGACGGTATTATGTTATTGGTTCATCAGGTTCAAATCGCCAGAGAATCAATAAATAATCATGGTCTTCAGAATGAATTTCAATTTGTCTATACATTTGCTTGATGCAGCTGTAAACAGAACCTTGTGTACTCGGGCACGGATTAGAATCCGTGGTAAGTCCTATTGAAGCTTGCGACCTGTGTATAAATTGGTATTGAGTGATTGTCCCGTGGTGGTCACAGCAGATGCATCAAAGACGACTCGGAGTTTAGTTGTCTTACTCTCAGGACGCATGATGCAGTGGTGTGGGATGTAGTAGCAATATGGAGTCATTCTTTGATTCGTCGAGACTACTTCCATATGTTGACTCACAAGGTAATCTCTCATGAACTCCTTATATTGTTGGAAAAGCTCTTCATTTTGCGATAATCGGCGTTCCAAGTACCGAAATCGTGTTTGAGCCATGCTCCGAGAATCTCCGAGGATTGGGCGAGGATGTTTCAATGGTAGCGTAATGCTAAATCAACCAGACGCCAGACGTTTCACTGAGGACGTGAATATTCTTTCTGCGTGGATTTCATCTGGACTCAAATGGTGTATATGGAGTGGCTCCTCCATCTCCCAAAATTTTGACAGGGATTGTTCGAGTGTCGACTCAGAGGTGACTAACATTGACGTGACTAACTTGGGTGTCATTGCCGCAGCTGGTCCCATCAAAACCCATCCAAATACAGTGCCAAAGGCCGTTGGATGGTGTAGATGACCAACAATACGGTCACCGGTGAAAATAGCTGGTGCGACGTCTGCGCCGAGCAGGATGTCAACTTGCCATGGAGTGTGGAAGGTTGAATCTGACAGATCCAGTTGATTTATGTGAAGCCACGATGTTGATTGAATAGTTTCTTGAGGTGTGACATCTGTGATCTTCGGCACAATAAGAACATCAAGAGGAATGGATGGTTCAGATTGGTTTACTGGTGACATTGTGATTGTGGTCATGCCGGACACTACGTTAACCGGTGTGCCTAAAAACACGCTGATTTTTGTGGTACAACGTCGGCGGGTCAGAGATAGGCGATCTGCACACTGCTTCGTGATAAAACTGACCTGAGATCCCGTATACAATAGTGCTCGTAGAGTATGTTTCTGGTGGTCAACTGATGCGACACTGATGAGTAATGTTGACAGTAGGATTGGCTGAGATCTTTGAGTGGCAGTGAACATCGTAGCTGCTGAAGGAACACTGTCACCAGTGGTTACATCATCCGGGAAGTGCAGAAGCGTATGATGCTGCTTCTTACATGCTTGGCATGCGTATACCTTGATGGACATGCGGACAACGTATGTCCAGATCCCAAACAATTCATACACAACTGAAGCTTCTTTGCCGTTTGGAATCGTTCACTTGGATATTGGCTTTCGAAGACTGCGCACTTCCGAACTGAATGTGCTTCCTTACATAGTGGGCAGTTAACGGTTGGGCTCGACGTGGATTTGGTGGCTGCCACGAGAACTTAAGATGATACTGTTGGACGAGATCCTCTTGACAGCGATGGTTTAGATTTGACTCTAAATGAGTCAGCTATACCTGGACTGACCGTAGAGTAGGGTCCCGCTCGTGCTTCAGTTGCCCGCACGTGACTACGTAGAAATTCGACGAACTCAGTCAACTGCGGTTGGTGCCTGTCACCAAAGATCAGCTCCCAACGAGCCCTAAGTTCATAGTCAAGATGTTGCTCAAATATGTGAACTAACACTGGGCTCCACTGACGAGTCGTGAGGCTCAGATTGTCCAATGCTGCGGTGTGTTCAAGGATCGCATTGATCTGTGATTTGATTGAGCAGGCATCAGTAGATAGAACCTTGTGTGGGGCGAGAAGAGCTTGAATGTGGATTCTTGCAAAAGTCCCTCTTGTTCCCGTATCGAACAAACTAATCATTATATACTCAGCTTTAAGCTGATTTGATAATTCCCTTTCGATGTTTAATTTTTTTTATCTGAAGGGGGAGGCTACGGCTAAGTATGCTTACTAGAGCCTAAGGCTTGGTGGCCCCTCCCCCAAATTTGTTTAATAGGCCTGTTTAATAGGTTTTTTCAAACACTGTTTTCGCTCACAACCTCCACGATGTCCACCAGTCCACGATGTGCCTTTACTTGACATGCTGGCCTACATTTCTCCTAACCGACGCAGTCGGATTGTCTACCTATAGGCGACTAACTTTAACTTCAATCGATTTTCATTCGAGGTAACTGACTTGCTAGACACCTATAAACATAATAAATATAATATCAATATTGTCTGTGAATATTATACACTGCAGTACGAGCCGGGAAGACTAATTCATTTAAAATAATAATAATAATATAGAGATACCACGATGAAGTAATTAAAAATAAGATTATATTATACATATGAGTATGTATCGTTAGATTGGTTATAACTTATATTAGGCAGGTATTGTAATGTTTATGTTGAGGTACGTATATCAATTAATTATAAATTTAAATGCTCACGGTTACAAGAAAAAGACGATTTTAGAATAACTATTACTGCTGGAATGACATTTTGTTATTATCTACAATAAATATAACATGGGTATTTGATAAATACAGTGTCTTATAGTCTTTCCGCCCCGCCCACGCAGACACCTCAGAACTATCAAGTGTAAAACTATTATTTCGGCTTCAGCCACTGTAATGTGTGTGTTAAATCTGAATTCAATGATAGATAGGAACCCCAATCATTGCATACAAAAAACAACTATAACCTACATTATAAAATTTTAACTTTATAGCGGAAGGCTATCATCATTCATTGTATAAATTAACGAAATCAAGGTAAAAAATAAATAATATGTCTAAGGAAAAAATGTCCAAAATAAAGCAAGGCAAACAAATATATAGATTAAATACATTATTACACACAGTATACCTACATAATATAATTAAAACTTAAAAGTACATTTACAGCGTTGACTATATTTTTAAATAATACCCAATCCTTTATAGATGAATCATAGTAGAAAATATATCTACAGCGTGTATTTTTGGCACGGATAACTAATGTGTAACAGGGTGTTCCCATTTTATTATATTTCGATACTTCAATTTTTTTGATTTTGGAAAATGTTACCATGGACATTTTTTTCTCTGACATTTTTGTAGAATACCAACTATCGTCTATCACCATTCGGATACATTACCTACTCATTATATTTTATGATATATTTATATTTATAAGTATTACATTTTAAACCCTTATAAGTTAAAAGCTTCAAAACGGTATCTGAATGAAAAATATTTTTACATTACAACAACATAAATTATTTTTTTTATTTGTGTAAGGTATTTACATATCTATTCTTAAAGTTAGAAACTTAGAAAAATACTCAAATGTGAGAGACAGAACTTGAGTGAATATGTATAGTAAAGCTTTGTATATTATGTGAAGCTTTTGAGGGAAAAATCCAAGCATTAGTGAAACTATACATACTTTTATTTTTATTTATTTATTTTTGTTATCATTTATTTATTTTGAAAACTCTGGTAATCATTTAGATGATCACGATATCTATTATTGTTATTCTTCGTTTTAATATTTAATTTTGTCCACATTTTAGCTTTAAATGATATGGTACATAAAAAAATACTGTTTTTTTTTTTTAGATTTTTTGGTTATAGTTAGAACTACTTAATAATGAGAAACCTAATCAAAATTTATATTTCTAATTCGTAGCTATAAAAGTTGAACATTTTATAAATTTTAAATTAGGTATTAATTTTTATCAAAATTCTGACTTTAAACATGTTTATAAATAGAATTTGTAAAGTTATGAAAATGTTAACTATATATTTTCAATATTTTTTTAGTTGGCATATGATTCTATAAATATGTCATAAGTTATGATTCATGAAGAACCTACTGTATTCAGTTTTAAAGATTTTTGACAGAAAAAAAATTTGTGGACAGTTAGTTAGGTACAAAATAGAAGATGTCAAATTTTCAATATAGCTCAAAAAGAGCCTTCAAATATTTTGAAAATGTTATTATGTTTAGAAAATTCTAATAACACTAACAATATATAGATGTGTGGACATTTTAAGTATCTACCATTTGGTTATCCACCAATCATTATTTTAATTTGAATAAACAAAGATATTTATACCAACAAAATAAAATTGAGTTTGTTAAATAAGTATATACTAGCTACTGGTTTGGGTAAATATTCCAGTTTTTCCAAATTTTTTTTTGGTTTTTCTTGGGTTTTTTTTGAAAAGCTTAAGGAATTTTTACTTTTGACCTAGTACCAACTAGATCCAATTTTCTAAGAGAAACCCTCAAGTTGAAAATCTATAGATTTTTAAAAAGGTAATGATAGTTGACAGACAGAAAATTAACGTACATTGTTGTAAAATCTATGTGCGTTTATCGTTCCGCTCAAAATCTAAAATTTTCATGCAATTGTAATGTTTATCGTAAAAAATCTAATATTCAAACATTAGAGCATAACCACCATCGGTCCCCTTGCATTAAACAAATAAGCAATAAGCTGAATGTTAGCTCTTAAGCAACTTTATTTGAGAAAAATGTACCTTGTAATATTAAAATGGACTATCTATATGACTATATCTTCGCAAATAGCCTATAATATCTAATTTATGTAATTTTGTTTATAATGTTACAGATAGGCACAAATGTACAATGGTAACATTATAAACTATAGAATTTTAAATAAATTTAAAAGAAAAAAATCACATTGTTTACTTTACAAAAACAAATTATTTTATAATTGAGTAATTATTGTTTCAAAATAAAATAATGAATGGAATACCTGTATAAATGACTATACATTTTCATAAATTACCAAATAACTGCAATGATAAAAACAATTGAACAAATATTTTTGTAATTTAATGAGAACTGTCACTCCATTGTGATTTCCTCTGAATATTTTGGAATAATTATAAATGATTCTTTTAAAAATAAAATTTATTTGGAAATTAGGAAAAGTTTATATTATATTGTAATATTATTTTATTCAAAAATCAAGGCCCAGTGTAAAAGTTACATTTTATTAACTGCCTAATATAAATTGCCTCTATTAATTTATAGTACAATATTTACATTATTTCAATTTTTAACACCTATAGGTACATAATTATTAGTTATTAATAATAACTTCATAATAAACAATATGTTCATCTCAACGCTAATGCTAATTGCTTGGTGCGCATTATTGGATTTGCAGATACCACTGTAATCGCTCCACAGATGGACTCAAAGCAGGATAAACACTTAGTAGTTACTACTTACTAGCAAATACAAGCTGTTACTAGTTTGTGTTATTTTGTTTTATAATTTTTCTTCCTCTGACAATCTTTTTCATTAACTTTTCAGAATGCTGTTTAATCTAAATGCTATTTTTCCATACTCAAAATGTACAATAACTTCTAAAAACTCAATCGAGGGCGAACAAGTTTTAAAATCTAACCAAGTAATATTATATGGTAAACTTCAAATAGAAAACGTAAGGAACCATTTATCAATTATTTAAATTATCTGCTTAATTAATTTAATTTAGTGATTATTTAATTATATTTTAGTACTTATAGGAAAAATAATTAAATAACCTGCTTATTCCATTGTAATATTGTCAAATCCATAAAATCAATTCTTATTGAAATTATTATTTATCTAACATTTATATTATCTATTTTATGTATCTATTCTCAAAAACTTGCATATTGTGTCACTTATTTTTTAGGATAAGTGTAACATTACAATTCAATCATTAGTTATTCAGTCATCAAAAGCATCAAAATGCCACATGAAATAATTGGTTAACTTCATAAAAAAACAGGGTTGTTTCATATACAGTATTTTGCACGCCGTGTAAAGCTGGTGAATTCGAGTGCTGCAAACACATAGTTGCTGTACCTAAACAGGTAAAATTAAATGAAGAATATCTTATGTTTTTGACTATAGGTACCCACTGTAAATTAAATAGTATTTTATTATATGAAAATTGTTATAGGAATCCTATTGAAGATATCCAGTCTTTGTTATTAACAGACATTAAAATGTCAATGGTAAAAATTGAAGGAGCCCTGTTTGAACCAGTTTAAATCAGTCACAATAAGTAAGTTTCAATGTTAAGATACACTTTTTTGCATGTCTCCAATAAAATTTATATAGAAATATCTTGACATTTTTAATTCTTTGGTTCACTCTCTTGATATGAACTCTAGCAGCAGCTATATCTTTAGTCAGTAGAGTAAACTTCAGATTTTGAAAATTGGTGTTTTCCTTTTAGAAATGGTTGTCTTATTAAAGTTACACATTTTTCATTACGCTCGTCATCAACTGGAAATCCTCTGTCAACCATTAAAGCATCATATCTATCTAATAGCTGAATTAAGTTGTTTTGTTTGAAATTTATGTTATCTGAAGCTCTACCGCCCTAAGAATTGCTAACAAAAGTAATTAAGTCTGCAGGGTAAACTAATATCATGAATTTTAGAGTAAATCCAAACTTATAGAAACTATACAATTTTATCCTGCAAGATAGGCATTTTGGATTTTGTACAGGAACACTCAGTATAATCTAAAATAACTCTAGCATTTAAAAAATGTTTGAAACAATAAGGAATATTAGTAATTATTTCTTCTTTGCTTGACCAAAACATTAAGTTATCAATTATTGTATGTAGAATTTGTTTAGTAGTTAAATAAATTGATCTACAAGAAGATACACTTATGCTGTTGAAAAGAACTGCAAGTACAGAAAAAGAAAGATCTTGTTTTCATTTAACAAACACAAGTAAATTCTTTCTTTTGCACTTAGATGGTGAGTCCTGATATCAGAATTTTTCTTTTATACAAGTCCGATATTTTATTAAGAATAAATATGGTAGGAATACCAGTCATGGTGTTAAGTTTTTTGTCAGAGTCCAACAAAGAATAAAATATGTGATTATATCACCATTATTGACTTGTGTTATTGTCATGTATACAATGATCAAGTTGATCAAGCTATTCAGGAATGTCCACTGGTTCGACAACATTAAACAATTCGATAAGCCAAATCACAGAAAACAAAGATAAAGAAGTTGTATTAATATCTACCTATTTGTAATATATAGCATTAATATTTTTAATTAAGCTAAGTACCAACATGTAAAAGTTAAAGAATTAAATCTTATTTTAATGGTTCTTAATTACCTGATTTTCCAGTAAGTTCTTTTTAACTAGTGGCCTTTTTTAAGGTGACAACTGATAGTCGTTTTATTGGTAAATTTTTATTTACAGATGATTTAGGCAGATTTTGTGTTGGAACACAAGAGACATTTAGTTATTTTAGCAATACATAATACAAATTAAATAGTTTTAATTACTAGATTACCAGACAAATCAAACATGAAAAATAATATTATATTCCATGGAACAGATTTATGATGGTCTTCATCATTAAAATGTTTAGGGAATACTCTAAGCCTTTTCTTCAGGGTACTTTTGTTCATTCGCAAATTTATAGCCCATGCTCGGCGTTTGTCGATACATTATGTTGCTCCATTTTTATTTAACCATGCCACAGCCACATTACATTCTTTCTCTTTTGGAAAGCTATGAAAACTAACAGATTTATCTTTGAAGTCTATGACGGTTGACGAATTGATAATTTAAAGTTCAAACTTTGAACATTTATGTGAATTGACTGAATTCTATAATCTTGCTCAAAGCGTGGCGTCGGTGTTTCTATCAAAACTTTGTATTTTTAGTAAATGGATTTTATCTATTAATTATATTCCTGGACTATTATCAGTAGTTATCATTTTACTTTATCAACAATTTTCAAAATACAATTATTTGAAATTTTTTAATTTTTTACACCTGTTATTTTATTTATTTTGTTTTTTACTTAATCACGTACTACCTTAAATTTATTCTGTTATATTATTTTTCATGAATGCGCTTTGTATCTTAAAAGACTTAATCGTCCGAAAAGTATATGACGTTTAACAATTGTCTGTATCATTCGATACATTCAATCTACTTTAATAAGGTACTTTTAATAATACTTTGATAACTAACTGTTAAAATATAAAATAAAAATGTTTTTATTTTGTAATAGCATACACCATTTTGTGTACATTGAAAGTTATTACCATGGCAATCAGTGATTTTACAGTAGCTGTGGTTTGTTCAAGCAATATGAATCGCAGCATGGAAGCACATGCTTTTTTAAGGTAGATAATGAAAAGTTATTTTATTTTTTTATGAATACAGTAGAACTCCCGTTATCTGAATGCCAATCAACCGAACGTACAACTAACCAGACTAAAAAAAAAGGTTGATTTTTTAATAACTAGTAAATCATAATTAATCATAATACCAAATCGTAGTCTTATTTCGTCGTTCTGTTTTCAGTTGAATATTATAATAAAATTATTTGTTTATTTTTATATATTTCAAATGATACTACATACATATAAATAATAAATACATACAATATATTCATATAATTACAATAAAACTTTTGTTATTATGTCATATGCCAGTCATCCGGATATTTGCTTATCCGAACCACTCTTGACACTAATTAGTCTGGATAATCTGAGTTTTACTGTATTCTATTTATTATTTTCCACTACCATAACACGTAAGTATTGTTGTAAAATATTTTTCATACATTTAATTTTAATTAATGCATTTTTTTTACTGTTGTTGGATGGTAATTTGTAGACAAACATTTAATAAATTTTCTTTACCAATTAAAAAAAAAAACATGAATTAAACATTATTTAAATTTTTTTTAAAATTCTTTTTAACTGTAAAAGCACTGTTCTATATTTAATTATACAGAGCTATATGGCTTTACCATTTACATGCATTTGCATATATTTTTGATATTTGGTAATTTAAGTTTTTTTAAATTTATACTTAAGAAAAATTGAACACTGAATTCTTGCATCTTATCTATAAAAAAATGTATTTAAACTAGCTTCTGCACTATATTCAAAATATTATATGCTAATAATATTAACAATATTTACCTAATATATATTTATCATGCTATGAAGTGTTTTTAATTAATATTTGTTTATGATAATAGGAAAAAAGGTTTTAATGTTCGATCGTTTGGAACAGGAGACAAAGTGAAGTTACCCGGAACAGCATGGAACAAACCAAATATATATGATTTTGGATGTTCTTATGATGACATTTATAGAGATCTGTACAATAAAAATCAAACATTGTATCCTTTAGAATAAACCAATTGAATCTTATTTTACTTGTTTGTTCTTTGTATAGCTTTATAATAATTAAATAATGTTTACTAAGCTATAATTTTAAATAGTGCAGACATTAATCTTTTTTGTGCATCATGTACTTTCATTTGATATTAAATAATTTTAACTAACAATTATTTGCAATAACTGAAATGATTATAGTTGACTGTATTAAGTAATACTAAGAATGGACTGAACCATCATGTTCTACAAATTCTAACTTGGCCCTGTGAAGAAGTTAATCCTTATTATTAAATAATCATCTTTAAATAATTTATTGATAATAATATTAATAAATATTATTTATTTTTACTTTTTAAATTTATTAATTGTATACTACTATACAATTTATAAATTTATGAACATCAAAAATAAATCAGGAAAGTTGCTGTGCCATATAATAGGTTTTGTTGTTTCCAATAAACCTTGTGATTTTTTTAGCTTACTATTTTCATTGATTATTATATTAATTGTATTGAAAATTTCAACTAATATTATAAAATAGCTATTTATAATTTTAATACAATTAGATTTAAGAGTTTGAGTGCAATTGAAAGTTTAAACCATTAACTAGATTTTTTTAGAAATATACTTAATATATTTTAATAAATTGTATTTTCTTCTGAACATTGATGAAGAAGATCGTCCAGGAGTTATTTAAACATTTGTTAACAATTAATACCCGTTGTTCTTCAGTTTAACTTTTAAATCTTCATCAATTAATATTTTATTTTATTGTAAAACAATACATAAAAAAATAATAGTTAATGCATGATTTAAATCAATTTTTTAAAACAATATATATATAATTTATATATTATATCTATACTCTGTTCAAGTTAAGAAAAATAGTTAGCGGCCTATGTGCTGGTGCGTGGCAATACTTTGCGACATGTATACAAATAGTTGACACTGTAGGGAAGACAAACGAGGCATTGCCTTATTGCTGCCCAATGAAAACTAGTCATCCTCGAATACATTTCTTAACTCGAACAGAGTATTTATTATTTTGATACTATTTATTGAAGATGTTGTTACTTTGTTAATAAATCCTCAATTGTTTTTGTCATTTTCTTAACACAATTTCGTTTTTAGTTATACTCGAAATGGTTTACTAAATATGTTGGATAGAAATCGGCGGATAAAACAACATCCAGAAAGATTTCAACAATGCAATGAACAATTTACTGTGGTCATTACATGTGAAGAGAGAGTATATAATCAAGTACTTGAGCGTATGTTTGAATCATGTTAAATTGACAATTTAATCATTATTATGAAAATCAAAATCAAAATCATATTTATATGTTTAGATTTCGAAACTATTCAAAATATTGGCAATAAGCCGGTTTATGTCATCAACATAAACATTCAAGACAACCAAGAAGAAGCAACATTTGGATCATTTTTAATTTATGAATTTGTTAATTTGGTATGATTTAATAGATTTAGTTAATCTAATAATCTAAAATGTTAAATACAAGGCTGGGCAAGTTAACTATTTTTTTAGGTTTAAAGTTAAAAGTTACCTTTATTTTTTTTGAACTTGTAAAAGTTACAAGTTAATTAGAAAATAAATGTGATTTAACTTAGTTAAAATTAAGTTACTTTTTTTTTTAAATATAAAATTAATAATTATACCTACATACCTTTTTTAAAAGCAAACAAATAACATAATAATTCAATAATTTTTTTAAAATTTGTAAATAAATATAATTATAATAATTTATAATAAATTCTATGAATGAATAAAAATATTATAACAAATAATATTATTAATAATGATTTGGTAGGTAATGACTTATGAATCTACAATAAAATAACAAATTTATATGGGATACTGAGTACATTTTTATATTTTTCTTTTATTAATGACACTGTTACCCCTATAACATTTCCATCAATAATAATTTTGCATAATATCTTCTATGAATATACGATATATATTATATTATATTATATAATAAATAATAATAATATAAATTATATTATATATTACTATTATTATAAATTATTATTTACTAATTAATACATTTAATATTTCGGATTTCTATTTTTATAAAATTAACTTTTAATTAACTTTTACAAAATTGAATTTATTTAAAAATGTGCTCTAGGAAAAAAAATTAACTTATTGTGAAAATAAAATTAATTAACTCGTAAGTTACTGAATAACATTTGAAAAAATGTAACTCAATTCAGTTAGAAGTCACATCTAAAAAAAAAATAGCTCGTTAATTACCTTTTTACTTAAAATTAATTTAATAACTCGTAAATGCCCTGCCTTGGTTAAATTATCTAATATTAGAAAATATCTTTAAAAATATTTATGTAAATTTATTTTCATTTTAGTTGTCCAGGAGTGAAGATCTTGACAATGCTATTGAACAATTAGTTATTAAATATCAAGAAAAATGTCATAAGTCACTACTCAACTGTGTATTTTTCTTCTAAATATTAAAATAACTAAATACAACTAAATATCATTTATAGTTCTACCACTCGACTGTGTACCTTTCTACTGAATATTTAAGTAATTAAATAAAATTGAATATCATTTATAATTCGAAGTGGTGGCAATATTTAAAAAAATATTTATATCATAAATTGTAATGTAAACTATACTTTCTTTTATCAATACAACAATAACTCGGAGTCCATTGAACCCCCTTAATTAATTTTTCTAAACTTATTAATGTTTATTGATTTTAGTTTTTGAGCGTTGAATATATTGGTCTTACAAGGATGTTTGGTTTTTTATTTATTTATTTATTTTAATGTCGATTATCACCTTTTAAACAGTATTTATAGTAGGAAATTGAACCTATGCCACAGTGGGCCAGAATTCTACAAAAGTTGGTCAAAACCTAAAATAAATCTTATCGTTATTAGTTGGTTTTTCTGTATTATTCGATTATCTATAAGCTTATAGACTATAAAATAAAAACCCATTACGCTATCAGTGTTCCGATTAAATATTTGTTCATGATATTTATGATGATTATAGTTGGTTTTCTTCTCATTTAGCTCGACAGTTTGCTGTCTGTTACTTGTTAAGTATTTGGCCATTAAAAGTTTAATTTGAACAAAATCTATATTTTTTTTTTCTTCACCAACTCATCGGAAGTTGACATGTAAGTTTTATTAATTAAAATAATTTATAATTTAGTCAAAATTATTTAAGGCTATTAAAATCTTTATAACAAATTCAATTTTATACCAGTATACTTTAATAAATAGAGTTTATATTTTTAGTCTGAGCAGCTCTTGTCACTATAACTTCGTTTATTTATTTTATATTTGATAATTTAAAAAATGGTAAAAATTGTTCTTGCCTTTAGTTGCCTATTTATAAATTATAAATTTTTTAAAGTTGTACTCGATGTTTAGTAGGTATAATTGAATTATGGAAACTCGTCGCGATCTTTTTGAATTTATGCAAACAATTGAGGGTGACAGTAGTACAAAAATTCAATATGTGCAAAATAACATAAATAAGGTGTTTAAATGTGATTAATATTCTGATGAAATCTTGGATTCTATTAAACAAGCCATATATCGTGTTTGCAGCGAAATTTTTAAACGATGGAAAAAAATAGCTATGTGGTGTATGCATGTTAAAATTATTGAATAAAAAGCTTGACAATTTTTATACAAGGTTTCTCATAATTTGTTCAAAATATCTTAATCATAAAACAACAAAAAAAAACAGTCTTAATTTTTATAAGCAATTAAATCTAAGGCTTAAAATGTAATAGTTGTTCAATAGTTTTGAATCCATAAATTATTCTATCGGTACAAATGAGATAATTTCTAAATTTTTCCTTAAGAAAAACAAACAATTTTCCTTAGCAAGAAATTCGGTATTTTCCTACATAATTCAGTTTTTGGCTCTTGGATCATTTAACTTGGATGTGGTAACTACCTGCTAGGTACCTACTTCATACTTGTAACTGTAGTGTGAATTCTTTGTTTCAAATTAATTTTTGTGGTTGGAAAGCAATAGAGATAATTTGAACTTATATTACTGCCTATGCACATTAAAAACTTGTATACAATCAAGCTTAAGAAAGTTATTTTTGTTCTACTTAAATACATTTTAGTAATTTTAAATCATTTGAATCCAGAATGATCTCAGCCCTGATTGCTGTGGTGGACATTGAGACTTAAAAGTGTAGTAAAAATACACTGAAATCTAATTATCATGAATATTGAGTACCCAATGTACTTAATAAATAAATTTAGCTACAATGTATTATTTAGGACTTAGGTAACCATAAAAACTTATTAAAATAATTTATAGAAGTAATAATAATTCACAAGACTTATTAACTTTATAGTTCTTCACCTTTTAAACGAAGCAGACTTTGTCTCAACAAAATCAAAATCTTGGCTGCCTGGTCCCTTACACTTTATACCTATATTTTATAAAATAAAATAAAAACTAGGCATGCGCCTAGCTCAGGCTACCTTTGTCATAATTGCCAAGCCCAAGGACACAGAACAAATCCCTATTACTTTTTCGAATTTCATATCAACTCTAAATTCATTAATATCCCTTTTTTCCTCAATCATAAACAAATTAATCACAAAAGGCATTATATCTCCACAATAATTATTATTGTACCACTGCAATATTATAAATAAAAAATCTTATCCACTATTACTACCTACTTATTATACCTACCTTAATTAATTTTATTTATATTTTCAAACTGTACTCATTATAAATACCATTTTATGCTAATCAACAAAATATTACATCTCTTTATATATATAATTCTACTGTACATGCGTATGTCGCTGAACTCCTAAACGGCTGGACCGATTTGAATGAATGTTTTTGTATGGGTTTGGGTGACACCCTGGATGGCTTAGATTCACAATTGGACCCAATAGGTCTGACCCAGAGAGTTTCTCAAACAGGGATTTTAAGATGTACGAAGGAAATAATTGTTTGTATATGGTTTCTATTGGTTATAGGAGAAATATAAATAATATATATAGTAGAAATTGGCATTTTTTTTGTTTATTGGTTACCTACAGTGGTTCATTCAGCAGATCAGGTGTAAGCATGCATACAATTGAATTTTCGCACATTACCTATCAAGATGGCTGAGTTGCACTTATAGCCATTCATCGGCTTGCCCACAATCAAAATCAAAATAAAACATATTATTTATATAAAGTACTCATTAAGCGGAGTCCGCAATCCACAGCGAGTAGCCATAATATCGAGTCTCATATAGAGTTGGCATTTTTAACGGGCAACAAAGTACACGGCATCAGTTAGTGTATTATAAAATTATTATTAACACTTAAAATTGTACAAACACTTTTATTACACTCTGTGCTGAAAGAATTTAACTTTCAAAAAATAAATAATAAAATATAATTCTTTTGTATTTACCAATCCTCCTCATCCACAGTACTGACATACTCTCTTAATACATTAATAAAAGTATAATGATATTTTATTAACTATTTATTTTACACGTTTCTTCTGGGAAATTCTGAACTATTAAAAAAAAAACTATCTTCACCAAATTCATCAATAACAATTAACAATTAACAATTATTACACTATCTATTAAGTTGCGTTTCGTCCCCGGTTGTTACTAGACCTAACTGTCGTAATTAATGCAAATAAACTAGTTGCTAAATAGGGTTATAGTTTTTTGGATTTATTTAATAATTGGGCTAATTTCTGATGAACATTTTTTTAATATGTAGGAAGGTAAGTGCCGATGAAACACATGATTTTTGCCAAAATATGGTTATTTTAGTTCTTCTATTATTTGCTGTTTATTAACTGTAAATAAATATAGTACTCAAATCAATAACCACAAGGTAACATTGTAAATTAAGTTGTAAAGGTTGGTTCCTATTGGCCATGTAGAAACAATGGTGTAAATAAAGTTTTAATATATAATATAATATTATACTTTTTCGCATCAGGGTCCCGCAAAACCTAGTTGTGGTACCTACTAATAAAGTCTTGCAGATAAAATATTTTCTAATATTTTATTAATATAAATAATACTGACATTTTACATTTCATTAAAATAATTATAATTTTAAATACAAAAATAGCGATATAAATTTAATGATTTAAAACACTTTGCACCAAACATTCAATTTTCAGAATAAAATGAAATGTCACCAATTCAAATATACCTACTTTATAATAAACTGGGATTTTAATACACTTTAAATTGTTTCCCGAATCTAGCTATGTAATACTTGTTTTATGGCGGAAGTGTTTCGTATATTTTTGAATCAAAATAAGAACATTTTTTTTGCAGTTTTTGACGAAATTTTTTCAATTTATATAAATGATTTGAAAATTTAACTCAAGATTTGTCATAATGTGTTTTAATTAAAACAGTTGAAAAATATTATACACGCATTTTTATAAGCAATTAATGTAAACCAAATTCATAAAAATGTTGTTAAATATTATGCATAGGTACTTGAAACTTTTAAAATATATTATTATATATTTATATTGTATGTATACACAATGACACGTTGAAATGCAATTTCTTCAGAGTAATGTATTAATAATGTTGAATATGCCTAGTAAAATAAATTACTTTAATAACAACAATATCCTAGGATGACAGACTATCTTCGTTCAGAATCGTTTTTTTTTATACAATAGTGTTATATAATTTAAATAATTTAATTCAAATTTAACACTTCAGTAACAGCGACTCCTTTGGCTCTCTAGAGTCTAGACAGTGGTTGAACAAAGATAATTGTATTTTTGTTATAGTAAAAATCTATCTCCATCTACTGTGTGAGGGTGGTTGAATACTTGAATAAGAACCCATTTAATGTAAGTCATTCTAGTGCAACAGTTAAAAGCTTATTATTAAACAGCCTTATTAAAAAAAAAAACCAATAGAACTTTATATCCTTTTAAATGCTGATTTTTTGTTATCAATTGGTATAAAAATTATTATTATTATTGTTATTTTTTATTTATACTTGACATTTAATTGTGTTTGCTAATTGTTCTATTATTCGATTTATAGATTGTCTAATCAAACTAAGAAAGTATCTGGTGAGACAATTGTAACAAATCTGTGAAAATAATTGTTCCAAAACTATTTCATGATGACCTGTAGTTCCACGGAAAAAGAAAAAAAAATTAAAAACATCAACACTGAATGTCTATGCTGTAATCTTATAGGAATATATTATAGATATTTTATATATTTTTGTAGTATAATAATATATTGTTTTTGTCATTGAAGGATATACTAAAACAAAAATCATAATATGCTGAAATAATACTTAATGATATAGAATTTATTATGTTCGTCCAACCACTACAGCATATTTGTAAATTCCAAATCAAAAGAGAACTACAAAAACTGATTAGTTCTTTATACATATCAAATACCTATTTAATATGATAAATTTTTTTTAATTGAATTAGAAATGTTGAATATTAAATAAGTATTATAATATTTACACTACACAATTCAAACCAATCTTTATGGTTAAAAGGCTAATGATTTGTCAGTATAACTGTTGAGTTTAAATATATATAATATCCGTTATGAGGACACCACACCTGCATGTGTTAGCTGTCTTACAAAATATGTACATTTGCATTAATTCATTCTACTTTGTTATTTTTAAATTTGAAGTGAATTGTCATATAATAAAATTTAACAGCAACATTTTTACATAGGACATTTTTGATCTTCTATTTTAATTTTTAACAAATTATGATCATTTTAAAATTCACAAACAACTAACAATTTTAATTTGTTCATTATTAGAACATCAATAAAATCTTTAAAGATGCCCTACAGAATAATCTAATAATCTGACCTTAAAATTTTATATTTGACTGACTCACTATAATTTTTAAAACAGCTGAGTAAAATAGACTATTGTGAAAATACAATTTGCACCATAGTGTACATTTGTATACACAATATGCTTGTGTGGCGTTCCCTCAAAGAAATATTTACTATTAAATATAATATTATATCATGTTATTGTTAGAAATAGATTTTTTTTTAAATTATTATTTTGTTATAATCATTTAGAAAAATTGATTTTGTTTTTTTTTTCTTTAATAATGTATATTATATGAAAATATGTATCTATATTTATAAATATTTATGATACTTCTACATTAAAATGCAATACAAGTTGCAATAATTGATATAAAAATTTGTTATGTGCATATTAACATTTAAAAGTAAATCATTGCACAAATTGTTTTATAGATTTTAAAACTTAATACTTATCATATATTAGTAACCACTGACCATTATATAAATTTGTTTAAATTTAAGCCGTGGCCAATAAAAAAAGCATACATGTTGCAGACATGAAAAACATTCTAATTTAATTTTGTAATTAATATAACTGTACTGAATTAATGACAGTAAAAGTTGTTGCATTTACATAAAAAAAATCGTGTTTATATATTTGAGAATAGTATGTGAATGCAATATATTTATATTAATTGATTATATTTTCTTATTTTAAATGTCATTTTATTATTCTACTTATTAATAATATTTATTAATTAAACTTCTAAAAAATTGGGTGCATATTTTAGGGCTTTTGAGTGTGAGAACTCCTCCGCCCCCAAATAAGTAATAATAGTTTTTATTACTCAGTATTGGCTGATTAACAAATCGGCAACTACCTTTGTTATTTATGAAGTTTTGAACCTTACTTAAACATTTATTTTTAATACAAAACATGAAATTAATTGTTTTTACAAACTACCAAGTTGCTTAATTATATTTTATTGCCGTTAAAACCAAATATAATAGGCAGATTATGAGTTTTGTTCCGAATTTAAAGCACACAGGTCTGAATGCGGCAGTCAGCAAAAACTAAATGTGAAAAAGCCGATCAAATTCTATTGACAAATATTGCATTTTACTATAGTCAATAAATGTTTTACCTATTGTTCTATAATTGTGCAGTTGTTAATCGCACTATGTTATGAGACTGTAAGGATAATTTACCAAAAATAATATTTTAGGAACTGTAATGTATTCAAACTATATAAAATTGAATACTTAAGTTAAAACTTAACATCATAATATTTTTCAATGATTTACTTACACAGAACAACTATTAAAATGAAAAAAAATATATTTAACACAATACAATACAGTACAAAATTAGAATTGTTAATTAAATATAAGTATTAGATACTATAACATAAACTCATTACTGTCAAAATGAAAACCTTATTCAGGTGATAGCGTCACAGTTAGGTAAGCCGGCTGTACACGAGTTTCTTCCAACTCCACCAACGATTACTGAGGCGTCTCTACCAAAATATCCTGCAGTGATGGGAACAGGGTATCCTCCATCGTTAGTGGCACAAGCTCTTCCGATAACGTTTCTACAACTTGCTCCTCTGACTCTTCCGCTGCCTGCAGTTCCACATCTCTCACCACTGATGGAGCAGTTGTTTCCGGCATCTCATTTACCCAGGGATCACGGGACAGCAGTAAACGCGGATCTGGTCTCCAAATACATGAAAGTTCCAAACCCTTAAACGGCACCGAGTTCTGCGACATATGGCTACTCAACCTTCTCCAAAGTTGAACAGGTAAATTTATTCTACGATATCCGAGGTTAGTGCCAATACGCTTCAAGGGTATCCGAACACCATATTCAACCATCTTTGTAGTTAGTAGTTATACACCTGCTGTACAGCATATTATTAGAGACTTATTATTGTAAAACAAATAGATAGGACAGTTATAGTATTAATAGTAGTAGCAGTTACCCGATTAATTCAAAAGCTTGTACAATCCGAATCCTGTAGATGGGTGAGTACTGCAGTTATGTTTGTGACATAGGTATTAAAAATGCGAGTGTAGCTATTGACTCACAAAACACAGTACCATTATTTAGTGACACAGCTTTGGTATCTTTTATACATGAACTAAGAAGATCTTCTTGATCTTGATCTTCTTAGATCATGCTTTTATATAAAATGATGGGTTATGTAATACTAACATGGAACAAACAACTCTCTCTCCGCGGACGACTGGCGGGGATCGGATGATATCTCGAAAAGTGGTCGACTACTCGGGGGCGGGCACAGGGACTGAATTTTTGAAGTTGTGATAAACTATGTAGCGTGCCATAAACATTTTATCGCATGTAAATAAATATTTGGTATTCTTGGAAGAATGTATAACTGTGGTCGAACGAAAAACATTCGACTATTTGTCGACTTTGTATATACCTAGTCGGTGACAAATTTTAGTCGCATTATTATCCTACGACTGCTGCGACGTACGTTATCAAACATAAAGAAATGTGATATCCATTTTTGAAATCATAACGAATTAAACTTTTAACTTGTGTCTCGTGCTAATGGAACCGCATATTCGTATCATTGTATCAAAGTCATTCTACAATGGCTAATAATGATGAAATGGCAATGTTGTTTGCTATTGAAAATATTGAACTACACGAATGATTGATTCACGTAAGACAAATTCGAAATCCAGAAATTATTGTCAGTTCGACTCTTCAATAATCTAACTCGTAAGACCTCATGTAGTGTCAATGGGTCATTTGTCTGCGATTGATTTAAAAACAAAAGTAAGTACCTAAACTATATCTTTATTAATTTTTCTTTTTATAGTGTTATATTTATTTCAATTTCACTATGATATAAGATAATTGGGTCATTGAGTTTTGTGCATGCCAGTGTGTAAGGGCATTTGGTGCTTTTACAATTGAATATATTTCAGCCATAAAATCCACAGCTTGTTGATTGTTTAAGTGGTTGATTTTAATCAACATTTTATTTGCTATGTTAATAAAATACTTATTAAAAAAATTATTATATTAATTTGCTTTTCTATATATAAGACTATTATTTAGGTTTTAGTTACTTTGAAGTTTTTCGCTACGTGATCATACCAGTCACGCATTGGTAACAGTAGATTTACTTCTGTATCCCAACCAACTGTATCTCACTGCATAAGTTAGGTTCTTGCTGCAATAAACTATTCTGAAATATTTCACGAAAGACATAAATGAGCTCACCAAAGTTTTTAATAAGTTATTAATGTTTATATTTATTTATGAAGTATGAATAGGTAATAAATGAAACATATGATACATTTTTAATATTTTTAATAATCAAGGTTTTGCAGGGAAATTGGATTTCCTGGCATTATTGGTGTGATTGACTGTACAGATGTGTCAATTGTACCTTCTTCAAGTAATTTGAATTTGAATGAGAACCAAAATCCAGAACATATTTAGGCACACGTATTGTATGCTATCTACCAAGAAAATCATAGCTACAAAAATCTACACATTGTGTCGTGTGGTATCTACCAAAAATATCATATGTAAAAATCTACAAACTAACCTGCTCAATGCCTATTGGTTCACAGTTGTCCTATTTTAAATAGCCTGTTTGTTAACAGTTGTTCATATTATTTTTATTTTTTACAAAAATGTTTTTTTATATCTTGTAAAAAACATTCAAAAACATTTTTTTGATTGACAAACCTCCACCATTCTATGTGTATATTCTAGTATAGTAGTATACATTCTAGTCATATCTCCGTTTACATCACGTTTTCGGCTTTTTTTTAAAAGTTTATTTTATTTCACCATTACCCTTTTCTCCAATAGAATTTAACTTTGTACACAGTCTTGTATTAGGTAATAACTCAGGATCATTTAAAAATTGTATACAAGTTTTGTCATTAAAAATAATTGTTCTCTATAAATATATATAATATATAGAAATATAATATCGATACCGTCAATATGGGATCACGGAAGATAACGTAGGTACTTGTAGAATGTAGATAGCATACGACATTGACAATTTGTTGGTAGATACCATACAACACGAGCGCCCATATTTATGTAAACCCGAAATGTTACCACTCTATTAATGTCCAATTGGTAACCTTCAAATCTATTTTGTGTTTTACTTATTCCACGTAGGTAGGCGCTTATTACTAAATATTAATATTTTCAACTTTAGATTTGTGATTAAAAATTTCAAATACTAATGTGAACTAATTTTTCCTGGGCAGTTCTCATTATGTACACGTATGGAACAATAGCAATGTTTTACCTATACTCCAAGAGTTATATAGACAAAATTATAACAATTTGTACTTATTAGGTAAAATAATGTCACTATACTCTTCTAACTTCGTGATCAAATTTGAAGATTCAAGAGATTCAATGTACTCTTTACGTCTGTGGCTGTTAACACCCATAACAAATTCTACCACAAACGCAGAAGAATGATTTAATAAAATACAAATGGCAACTAGAAGCACAGTAAAACCGTGCAATGGACTTTAAAAAATTTGATTCAGGTGACATCCCTTGTGACTTGTATATTTTATTGTTTTACATAGTTTTAACACCAAATAATTTTGTTTTAGATGCTTATAAAAAGTCATTGCAAACCCGAAAAATCAACTGCTATTATAAATGCATGATGTTGATGATGTTGAAGAAATTGGTAATTTGGGAACGATGGAAGACCAAACATTATTAGTTGATAACAATCGCAATACAGATTTAATTCTTGGAAGACAACAGAGGGACACAATTGTTGGATATTTATTTAATAGACATAATGTATTATAAATAGATATGAAAGTATATTTTTATTTAAAATTATGTGCAATTTGTGTTGTACGAAAATATCATTTGTTATTGAAAAAAAAAACGGAGTATGAAAACATTTTTCATTAAACTTTGAATGAATATTTTTCATTTTGTGAGTATAAAATCACACACAATGAAATTCAAAAATTAATTAATTAATTAATGTTGAGAAAAAGAGTGTACTCTAGACTTGAGGGAAACAGACAATTCTTCTCAAATACAGTTTATTTGGTCATGGTTGTACCTATTTGAATTCAATTTTGGCATTGTAATAAATATTGATGCTTACCAAGATTTCATGATGTCCATCTGTGATGGCAGAATTCCTAATTATTAGGAATTAACTATTGGTCATCAATGTTTTACATTTTAGCTATAGTAAAATTGAGTTATATATTTTTTCTTCGACATCTTCATTTGTGTTTGGTAGAAACATTTCTCTATATTTTCGACAAATTTTGCTACCATGTATTTTATGTTTGCGCCTTTCTTTTTCTAAATTCCAATTAAACAGTATAATGTATAAACATCAACTAATAGCTTTTAGTACAATATTATACAATCTACCACAAATAACTATAAAATGCCCTTCTAAAATGTAATCGGTCACTAAATCATCATCTTCTAAGTACTATTTTTAATAGTCATGTTTGCAATATGTTAAATGTATAATGTATGAATGTTTGAAGTTTTTTAAAATTATAAATGTTAAAGTGCATTATGCCAGTTATGTAATATTATGTGGAGTCTGGAGAATTTACAATGAAAAAATTGAAAAATTATATTAAAAGAAAAACACTATTATAGTAAACTATTGATGTTTAGGGATGGGTGACTAGTACTATAGGTGATGTACTTTTTGAATTAAACAAAATAACCAAGATCATTTATTCAAAATTGAGAATTTTTGTAATAATACTAAAAAATAACAATTTAATTTTATATATTTATATTTTATATTTTATTTTGTGTATCAAACAATATAATATTTCACCATTTCAGGTGTTATCTCAATATTTAATTACTCAAGTATAAAATTCCTGTACAAATATCTTTTAGAAATTATTCTAATGGAAATATTATTATTGTATTATAATCACAAATTACAAAATGTAAATTTATAATTTTAGTAATTGTTTTAAAAGGGAGTTATAGTTATGCTCAGAAGAATACTCCAATCCCAAATAGTTACATCAGAGAAGACAGAAATTGTTATTAATAGTGGCATTGAGTCATTTTAAAATATGAGAATAGATAAAATATTTTCAGAATTATTTTGAAGACTTAAAAATAGTACGATTTTGTGAAAAAAGGTTGCCTAACTCTCTATGTTCATATTCATACTACAAAAATGATATTTAAGACAAACTATTTAAAAATATAATTTTTAAAGTGTCAAAACAAAAAAGAACTCAACCAAATATTTTAATAAATTTCCATTTAGTTACCATTACCAGACTTAACTAATGACATTGTTCCAGATGAAATATTGAACACTTTGTTATTATCATTAGGACATTATGTTCAACATTTAATATTTTAATATTATAAAATACTATACTTAAAAAATTATAAGTATTGCATTTTTTTTCTAATAATTGTGTTGTGAATAATAGTATCATCTAAATATTGCCTATTGGTAATATCGTAGGGCTAGGAAAATGAAGCTCTAAAAACCTAAAATAAAGGAATTAAAAAATTGCTAATAAAGCTACAAAAAAAGCATTTTAACCAGGAAAATGCAATTAAAAAAGACATGAACATTTTTAAGTTTAGCTGATAAATATTGAAAAAAATAAATTAAAAATGGTTTTATTAAATTTTAGGTACCTGTTTATTATATAAATATTGAATAAGACAATAAGATATTTTAATTTTCTGTATTCAACACAATCATTCTAAAAAAATGATAAAAAAAATTATTATAAAAAACTTAAAATTTTAAATATTATTTAATGTTAATAGATACATACTATTCAATTTCATTTCTATTGTTGCATTGTACTATTAGGGACTCTTTCAAATTTTCAAATATAAATTATCTGCGATTATCAGTGAGCAAAGTGTTGTACGAAGAAAATCATCTAAAATGAATATAAACCCCCATAGAAATTCTAAATGCTAAATAATATTATTGTAAATTTAGACATAGTAAACAAGTCAATAAATATCATTCCTATTGCATCCGAAGTTCAGACAGTCAACGTATTACGTAACCACGACTCCCCACTCGGTAATCACTGACAAATCTAAGAATCTATTTTCAGAAATATTTTCCGATAAGGCGATAATATTTCCCTACGAAATCACGAATTATATATAATATAATACAATTAAAATTAATTAATAAATAATAATTTAGATAAATATGTACATAAA